GGGCTATACCTGTAGCTGCATCCATCTGGAACCATTTGAAGCAGATGGGAGTGAGGCCACAGCCCAGGGTGAGAACCAGAAGGGCAAGCAGGCAGCCAATTTTTACTCCCAGCAGTACCTCCATCTTTGGGGTGTAGGATCAGCAGAGACCTCAGAATGACAAACGCAGTGAGCAGCAGTTGAGGTGACCCAAGTGGAGTGTCCCCTTGCGTGAATTCAGGAGACTGTTGATATCCTTTGTCCTGGACGGTCTGGGCTTCCACAGGCCTGGGCCACACAGCTGACTGGGGCTCAGCTCCAGTCACCAGCCCTCCCACTAACTGGAGGCCCCTCCCCTGCCTCCCGCCTCCCTGAGCTTCCAAACCAGAAACTCCAGACTCCCTGCCAGGTGTAGCTCCCTCCGTGAAATCTTCTCTTCAATGCTGTGACTAATCCAAGAGCTCTGAGGAGTCTTAGTTCATGTCTGGGGTTGATCTAACCTCAAATGGGACAATCTAGGGTAGTTACGCCCCAGCTAATTTATGTGTGGGGCGATGTGGTCCTGCCGCAGTCAGGACAGTTCATCTAAGCCTTCCATACTCTGCCTTATCCCAGGTCTTCCAGGCTGCTGTGCTGATACTTGAACTGAACCCTTTCAGAGAGGATTTGGGGCCACTTGAGGGTAGAGGGGGTGGGGCTGAGCAGAGGGCTGCCACTCTTCTGTGGGAACTAGAGAGTGAAGGGATTCCCCTTTCCTCTAATTCCAGAAAAATAGCTCCAGGCCTGGAAATCTCCAGAGGGGAGTGAAGATTCCTAGTGTTACAAAATAGATATAGTGTCCCTCCCCCCACCCCCTTTTTTTTGAGACAGTCTCATTGTGTAGATCTGGCTAGCCTGGAACTATATAGACCAGGCTGGCCTTGATAAACACAGAGATTCCCCTGCCTCTGATTTAGGAGGCATGGGCCACTGTGCCCCACCCGTCAGCACTCTGACTGTGTTGTTTCTGTAACAAAGCCCCACTAGGGAAATCGTCATTTGTTTTTTCCTGGTATGAAAGTTTAAACACTCCTCTTTCTCTAAAGTTTAAAGAAACCCACAAACTTCAAACAAAAAAAGCCCAGGCAGAGCGTCGTCTTTTTTTGGCCAAGATAAGCTGTGCCGTGTCCCTGGTGCTAGTCACATAATTATCAACTGTTAACCTTGTCATTTTTTGTCACACAGGACACTGCACAAGCTTGCTGTGCTGAACCTCAGGTCGCTCAATGGTCCACCAGTTGTCCATCAATGCCAAGAGATCCAAGCACCTTGATTTTTATCCAAACCTGTGACGGTACCAACTTGTTACTTCCCCTTTATTGCTCATAATTCCGCTGAGCGAGAGTGCCCCTGCCCTCCTGGTGGGTACCCTCCTGACCGTTTCGGGGGTTTGTTAACATTTCCTGCTGTGAACTGGGGTTGTTCTAGAAAGGAAACAGGAAAAAGGAAATAAACTAAATAAACAGAAGCATTCTGATGAGATCTAGATAAGGGTCAAGATGGAAGGTTTAGTTCTGAAGGGACCGACCTTGAGAGAAACAGGAGGCAAACTCCAGGGAAGGCTACCTTGGCAGAGAGACAGGGGTAAAGGAGTCAGCTAACTGCTAGTTCCCACTTACCAGGCCCACATAAGCACCAGCTGAGACCTGCTGAGCCAGTTCTCACAGGGCCTGAGGTGTCCTTCCCCACCAACCAGCCATCTTTCAAGGAAGTGTCTCTGGTAGAAGCAGAGAGGTCTCACTGACAGAGAGCTCAGCTTTCCCTTCATCATAGATAGGCCAGGACAACTACCCCCTGTATCTTTAAAGAATCATAAAATCCACCTCTGTTCTTAAAAAATTTATTATGAAAATTTCAAACAACTACAAGCACAGGGAGTACCAGCACTCTCTTCCTGGACACCAGGTAGCTTCGGCCTTGGCAGGTGTGATGGAGGGAGACATTTGTCACACATCCTTATCAACTCTCGGTGGGCTCTTCAGCCGGGGACAGAGGAGATGAAGACGGAGCAATCACAGGTAAAAGGTCTCCCCAGGAGCTGACTCGGGCACAGCGATACAGATCCCTACGGCACGGGAAAGAGGCATTAACGTGGGCTGTCGGTTCTTGTTACATTTCCCCAACCGGTTGTATCTCCTATACCTGCCATGCCGACGGGCTGTAACCACGGCATGCTGCATGTGCCCATCTGGACAACAGAGGTGACAGTGCACGTGGCGAGGCCGTTTGAGGACAGGCTGGGTGATACGGGGCCAGCGATTAGCCTCCTTCGGAGAGCCCCTGGCCAGGATTACCATAGAGAACGTTTCCTCTTTCGGCTTCTTATTCTAAAAGAAGAATATAAGGGCTGTCTAAAGGGAACAAACCTTTTCGCTCCCTTCTGTGCCTAAAGTCCTTTCTCACAGTCTAGAAATCACACAGAGCTCCAGGTTATTCCAGAAATCCTCCAGCTCTTCCCATCTCTCTCTCTCTCTCTCTCTCTCCTGTTCCCCCAGGCTATTTCTCCTCCTGCAGCACTCCGAGAACACATACCCAGCTGAAGGGGATCGGATGGTAAGCCTGGGAGAAGCTGCAGGCCAGTGACTTGGAGGCTGCCAGCTGAGGACAAGGGCGCTCATGAGGACACTGTGAACACACACGAGACACATCCACGGTGTTAGGGCTGGGGAGAGGGCTCACCTGGCCAAGGTGCTCGCTGCACAACCCAAGGGCCTGCACTGGATCCTTAAATCCCACAGGGAAGGAGAGGACAGACTCCCGGAGGCTGTCTTCTGACCTCCACGAGCACGCTGTAGCATGCACACATGCACCCACATCATACACACAATGAAACGTAAAATACATTTAAAAGTATCTAGAAATAAAGACTTTAAAAGCATATTAAAAATAATAAAGTGTCAATGGGGCCAGGAAGAAGGGCGCACAGGAGCGAGGGGCCGGGAAAGCAGCGGCAATCACCGGTAGAGGCAGGAAGGACAAAGGCGAGGAGGACGGCCGAGCTTCACCCTCTTGCTCTTCTCGACCATGAGACAGAACAGGAGGAAGTGGTACTTACTGGGGCAAAGACAAAGCCAGGCTGAAGGTCCAAAGGGGACTTCTCTTTTTCCTGCAATCAAGGAAATACAGCTGAACCTGTGGGCTCCACCTTCAAAATCCAACCTTTGCATGCGGAGAACCCAGGGCTCCTCACAATAAATTCTAATATTGACAAGCCAAGTTCGTCAAGTTAAGCCGGCCACAGCTCTAACGTGCCAACCAATGAACTGTCTTCACTACAGCAGAAAGGCAGGGACTTGGCACTTGGTACTGTCTTCTCCCATCAGCAACTCAAAAAAAACCCCTCATTCGCACACAATTCAATTTAGGATTCTATATCGGCTCACACGGTTTCATTGAGACAGGGTTCTGGCATCAGCAACACTTTCCATCAGGAGTCGTTAGCAAAGTAGTTTTTGAAAGGACCGAGGAGTGAGCAACACCTGTCTCCGAGGTACTTAACCGCAGCCTGCAGTGAACGCTGTCACAGACATAAATATGCATAGCTCCCAGGGCAACAGGTGCTGTGCTGGATTTGACCTAGAAATTCTCGTTGGCCAACCACTTTGCTTATCATGAGTCACCATTACAAATGTGTGACAGTCGCCAGCTCCCAGGGGCAGTAACAGTCACTTACGACAGAAAGGTGGAGGACGGAGGAACCTCACCTGGAGGACCAGGTCCCTGGCATCCATGAGAAGACGGTGCCCAGCTTTTGTCCCGTTCTCCACCAGCACCTGCTTACAGACAGAGACAACAAGCAGGCTCTCTGAATCCCATGAAACAAAGGTCAGCAGCTCTGTCAGGGCACTGTGTAAAAGGAGATAGGTACCCCAGGGAAGTGCACAGAGACCTATAAAAGAGAAATACTACGTGATGACGAGAGGGCAAGGCACAGACCCACAGAACTTGAAGGGAAAAGGATTTCAACTCACCAGAAAATGGCTTGTCTTACGCCACAAGTTCTGAACCACCTCAATGCGATCAGCCTTGCTTGGCAGTTCACTGAGGGCGAAGGCCGACACGACCACATCAAACTGGACCTGAGGACCCAGACACGGGATGCAACAGACCTGACACCTCCCAAAGCACCACAAATGCCTAGCCTCGAAATCCTCCTGACCGCAAGATATCTCATTATGTAACCCAGCTTGGACCCGAATTAATGGTAATCCTCCTGCCTCAGCTCCTGAGTCCTGAGATTATAGGTGTGCACCAGGATGCCTAGTTTTAAATTTCCTCTACTGCTTCTTTGTCTTCCAACACACAATGATGGATTTCAAGGCTGCAACCACAGCTGTCTATCTGCCACACTATATCCGAGAAGAGCCTGCTTGCTACTTGCCTTGGGTGACACAGGAAGAAACTGTCTGAAAAAGACACCTGGGACACAGGGCTTCCCTGATTCTGAACCACCTACGGAAGAAAGATGCGGCAGCTAAGAGTGAACACGAACTTTACAGCCAGAAGCTTATACTCAACTAAGAGACATGCCTCAGATGGTAACACCCGCCCAGAGGTGTAAGGAATATTAACAAGGTGGCCTACTAACCCCATCCAACCAGTCCGAGTCCCACGAAGGCCTCTAACAGTGTTTCACTATAATAATGGAAGGAGCCCAGAGTATCTTAATTTATAACTTTCTCCTCTATGTCCCAATAAAACACTTTCCTAATTCCCCCGATTTTTGGAAATCCCTGGATTAGAGCTTGGTCTCACCTTTTAGTAGCTTTTCAGCCAAACCCAACATGGCAGCTGAACTGTCCACACACACGTATTCACGGAGGCTCTGGCCCCAAGTACTGTGAGCAGCCCTGAGATGGCAAGATGAAAACCACCAACTTTTAAAACACACAGACATTCCTCCAAGAGACCCACCTGCTCTCAATCCCACCCCTGGGGAATCAGGACACTACATTCAAACAGATAAACTAAGAGTGTTATTTTCTTAGTGCATTTACAGCTTTTGAAATAAAAGGTAGATGATTCGAAAACCGACTTGTAGACAGAAAAATTTTGACTGGTACGTAAAATCTACTCTGCACACTAAATTGCTTTCTCTTTGAACCCGAGCACTGAGCCTTTTTCATGGGTTACTTCTTGAACTCTGACCCTAACACAGACATCGTCTTCTGCCTTGCCTAATCCAAGGGCAGCAACATTCTACATGCAGCCTTCTTGTTCTCTAGTATCCCCGTTTCTTGATACTGAAGCGGTATAGGAAATCTGACTCTCTGGAATTAGAACAGACATGGCTAAGGGGTTAAGAAAGCTATTTACCAGGCGACAGAACCAGTGCCGCATCCAAAGTCCATCAGCGTTTGTGGCTGGAACTCCGGAGTTCGAGCCTGGATCTGGAGAGTCAAGAGAAATACTTTGAGATGGGAAACATCTCAGTGATTCTAAGCCTTTCTCACAGAATTTTTTTAAAGGACAAATAGGATAAATCAATGTGCTCATAACATTCCAAGGACTCCTATCACAAAAAGACTAATTTACAGATAATAAAACCAATGATAAAAGGGTCAGGTGGGAAGCTGAGAGACTTGCACCTCATGGAAGGCCCTGAAAACTGCTGCGAAGCCACCGTCCAGTCTGGCTGCCATATATATCAGACTCAGTTCCTCATTATAGCTGCAAAAATAAAATAAAATAACCTCAGCCCCACAGGGACCCCAGAAAGTTTAGGAAATGAAAAAAATTGGAAAGGACTCTTTTGGGTTTCACTTTCCAATACAGAACAGTGTCCAGGGTGCGCTCTCCAACACAAGGTGACTAATTCTCTCGGGGCTCCTCAGATTCAACGTTTCTTCTTTGTACCCTTCCTGCCAGTCCTTACCTGAGTCTCTGCCAATGGTAGGTCGTCCTGCGCAGTGCCTGCAGTACTGCCCCGCGGAGTTTTTCCTCTGTCTGAGTCGAGTCTAGGGTGAGAAGGGCTGGAGGTGAGGACCAGCGAGAACTGGTCAGATCCAGTGCAGTACACTGCCTACCCAATCCTCCTCCACTCCCACCTGAGAAAGTGCTCAAAGCTCAGAGAGGCCAGACCCAGAGAAAACCTCGGGAGAGAGGAAACCACCACCGTAGCCAGGGTGTATCGGACAGTATCTTGCCTCTAATAAGTACTCTAGTCAACTTAACCTATCTAAGTTTTGCTTCATCGTTAACAGAAGTCTGATAAAAATTTAAAAAGTTTTACATTTATGTATTGTGTGCGATTAGGTCTGGGTCAACTCTCACCTTCAACCATTTGGTAGAAGGTCATCAGATTTGGTGGCAAGGACTTTTACTCTGAGCCATCTCTCCTGCCCATACGATAAAAATTTAAAAGCTAGATAGAATAAGGGCATTTTTTATGGACATTTTCACTTCCCTCACACTTAGGAGTGAGACGCTTTCAATATTCCCATAGAAAGGGGCTTGAAAATCTAAGTCTCATGATGTGTTGAGCTCAGTACCACATAGTAAAATTCTACAAATACCCACTGCAGTGGTTTGACTGAGTACGGGCCCCATCGGTTCATTGATTTGAATGCTTGGTCACCAGAGAATGGCACTATTTGAAAGGATCAGGAGGTGTGGCCTTTTGGAGGAAGTGTATCACTGGAGGTAGGCTTTGAGGTTTCAAAAGGCCATGCCAAGCCCAAAGTCTCTCTC